CCGGGTTTAATGCCCTTTCTCACCGAAAATCCGCAGACAAACGCCAAACATCCATTCTCTCCCAATGGTCAGCCGCCATGATGAATGTGTTGTGTGAGTTGCGCAATGGCAAAATATACCATTGCACTTTTTACAGGTCTGGGCTTAATACTATGCACTAATAAAGTCTGATTTATTGATAAAATCATTTCCGGTACTCAATGTTNAAATATACCATTGCACTTTTTACAGGTCTGGGCTTAATACTATGCACTAATAAAGTCTGATTTATTGATAAAATCATTTCCGGTACTCAATGTTAACTGATTATTGCACGATTAATAATTATTTCCCCGATTTAATCCCCTTTCTCAGCGGAAATCCGCGGACGAACGTCAAAGCACCTATTCTCTGCCAGTGATCGACTGCCATGATGGATATGCGCCGACACATTGCGCAGTTGTCATATAAGGCGTACGGTAGCATTCTTATATATGAGACTTGCATTTATCAATATTAATTATATACGATAATAAACTCTGATTTAACAAAAACAAACAACTAGAATTGTCAAATTAAACTCGAGAACACGTGATTCAGAAGAAAACCTCAACATAGGGAAGATGAATGTGGAATGAGCCATTTTCAATCATCACTAACTTGAGACTGGCAGAGTAAAATTGATGGAATTAAAAAAAAAATTTCTTCTTTCATTTTGAAGGTATTTTTTCAGGCTTGAAAATGAGTTTTGATTTATTTCAATGGTTTCGTTAGGTCATCAAATATGAATTGATTTCTATAGTTGGTTTTACCTGGCCTCCTTTCCTAATGTCCAACGATTTTTTTTTTCATTCTCATGCTCAGGAGATCTCCCTAGATTCCAACTACTGCACTTACCTCACTCACCTGCTTCCCCAGGTGCCCCCTTCGCTGAGATGACTTTTTATAGCTCATCCATTTACCAAAAAAATAAATAAATGAGTTTGGCTACAACGGTGCGGATAGTCGAGTTGAAATTGGACTCGATGGACACGGTATGGGTATGGGGTAAATACCGTAGCAGTGGTAAAAATAAATTATCATTCCGACATTAAAAACCAAAAATAATGTATTTTCATCAACACATATCGAATGGCAAAATAGATATTATAATAAATAATAATGATTCTTTTTCTTTTACTTTTTTTAAAAATTCTGATTATTAATTTTGTACCATTCATATGTAAAATTGTTGTTCTATCAATCTCTTTTAACTTGTGCTGGTTGACATCTCCTATCACTCCATTTTTTAATGCCGAGTTGAATCAGTTGTCTATTATTATATGTCCACGATAGCATAACAATGACAAACATGAAAACTCCGATAATGAAGTGAAGGAGTTTTCGATCGGGGAAGAATAATGTCTGAAATTTGATAATGCAAAAAAAATAAACATAATGATAATCGGTAAATGCAAGAAAAAGTATATTATTTTCAAAATTCAATAATTTTTCGACTTACATATGATAAATGAGTAATGGCAGCCGAGGCTCCTAGACTCAACCAGAAACAAAAATTGGGTACGAGTCCTCTTAAAGGCCTGTAATTCGTTTGAGCATGCCTTCTATTGATGAACACCACAGAGTGATATATTCTGGATGCCATATTCAAACAATTAGCGAATATAAAACCCACTGGGCCGAGCCACGAAGTCAATACATAAGAGGCGACCAAGAAGACAATTGATTCATAAATCATAATGAAATTGGTTTTGTTGATGGTTGCGCTGTCCGCAGTTGCATTAGTGTAACACTCCGTGACGCCATTAATAGCTAAAAGCAGCACCGCAAGACAGTGAGCTTGCATGAGGCAAACAGGCAGACGGGCCGTAAATTTAGTGCCTCCGTAGATCCATAAAAGGGTGGATGAATATGTCTGTCCGAATACCAGGACTATTAGGCCGATTGATGTTACGATCGAGCAGAGGTGCGTCAAAACCTCCACACTTTCTCGAATTCTTACCTATAACGAATCATAAGTTGCTCAATTTGTCGCTCATAAGGGCTCACTTTCCACATGTTTACTTTCAAATTTAAGACTTGGAGGAAAAAATTATTGTTCGAATCAATGAGTACATATTCGTACATGTCAAGATATTTTTTCTGGAAACAAGTGTGGCTATTAGCTATTAGTACAACTGCATGGCAATTCTATCCAACATTAATTACCTATTCATTGTTCTTTAATCATATTGTTATTTCTAATAAACATCATAATTATTGTAAGAGGATAATACAATTCTATAACTTTACTTACAGGGTTCTGTTCGTTAATGCTCTTATCCCTCTTAACAACCTGTGTGAAGTAAAAGTATCCGCTTTCCTCGATCGGTCGAAATATAAACCTCGCCGCTAATGAGCCCAGATTATTCACAACGTCGTATGTTCCCTGAGAGATGGATAAGATGTTTAATGTATGCAGCACTTGGGTTCCAAATGGCCGTATAGCAAGCTTTTTTTTTATAGCAAATTTACAGCCAATTCACATGATATTTTATGGATTTTTAATACCTGTTCTGCGAATGTTATCACTGGGAATACTGTCATAATAATGCGTTCCCCTTCTGTTAGGACATACTTGAGTATTCCTTGGCGGAAGAAGCTCCAAGTGAGGACTGTCAATTTTTCATTGAATCTGGCTTGCTGAAAAGAAGAAACCAAGGAATTTCTATTGGAAAATTATTTCACCTCTATATTAATAAATCATTTATTTTTCTCACGTGATTTTTTAACTGGCCAGGAAAGAAATCCCTCACTGACTGGAATGGAAAATGACGAATGATGAATTGATCATCCTTGAACTCTTCACCATCTGCAGAATCCTCCTTCTCCTTCTTCTTCTTCTCCTCCTCCTCCTCCTCGTCGTCATTTTTCTTGGAACTCTTCTTTTTCTCGTTCAACTGCTGAATATAGCAATAAAAATAAATATAATGAGCAGCCGAGTAAAATATGACGTACGCCAATTGGGCGACTCCGAAAGCTAAGAGTGCCCTTTCCGGCCAGTGAAAAACCATTGGGACAAACAGGAAGGTTCTGAAGACTATGGCTGTAGTGTCGATTACTACCTGAAATAATAAAAATGACCCTTTGGATGATGCGATGTCGACTTGAGGGGGGTCGAGGGTTGACGTATTTTTCAGAGAATTTTTCCGTAGTTACTTTGAATCTGTTGAAGAGAAAGGCAGAAGAGACTAGTTGGACGACTAGTGATAATAAGTGAATAACGCAAGATAGGGCTACGGAAATGACAGCGAATGTGTAGTAGTCTGGAAGGGTCTCAGATGTTGTCAGAACATATAACCAGATGTATCCGAAAAGTAGAGACATTAATGAACAAATTGGAATCCTATAAAAAGAACAAGTGTTAATGTTAATGTTTTTAATTGAACAATGATGAATTTTATAATTCTCTATATTTGAATTGTGGAGCGCTCCATCATCTTTTTTTTCGTTTTCAGTGTTTTTTATTGCCATCAACAATAACTATATTGATTGAAAAATTTGATTCATACGTTAGCCAGAGTAGATTAACAACTTGGGCCCAGTTATGTTCAACGGCATTAGTGAGACAGGCCTTGAAGAAGGGTTCTCTGGACAAGAAGAGTATCGTTGACTCGAGCAACAATAGTCTGACATTCATGATCCCTAGCACAGCTTCGCCCACGTTCCTTACAACAAATACATTCAGACCGAATGTCACGAGACGACAAAAGATCTACAACAAACAGACATTTCATGAGCATCCATTTTTCAACTTGTCGACAAGCCATCATAGAAAATTTGTTGTAAATTTCTTTACCTGGAATATAATGTTGAAGGAGGCATTCTCCAGACTGCTATTCAACACACTCATCACACCTTACCTTAACTTATTATTCCCACTTGATGAAAAACTAACAATCTCAATTACCTTGACCTAACCTCCAATCATCATTAAATTCAGCTATTTATTATTATATTCTATAACATGTATTCTTCCTGTGGACAAAGAAATTTCTTACATCATTTGAATTCAGTGTCAAAATTTATTACCACGTAGGCATATCATTTTTATTTACATGATGTAATAATTGTTGTAGTGTCTTGACACTTGCCCTTGCTTGCCCTGCACCATTGGTAGTATTATGTACATGCTGTAGATGCCGCCATGCACACACTTTATGTCTCTCACAATGGAAAACATCCAATAAATATAATGCAAATAATATAAATTTTATCAACACTCTGCATAATGACAGAATTTTATTGCAATATTACAAATACGAGAGGATTTTTCAATTTTTCTCCAAAATTTTCCATGAATCTTGAAATTAAGGGAATGATTATGAAATAGCAAAAACCATGACTATTCGTGAGAAAGACTGGAAACAGATTATCATTAGTTATCATTAAAATGATTTTTACATAGGAAAAGAAGAGAAAATTTTCATTTGGTGATAGTCCAACTAAGTTGAGATAAGATAAAGATAAATCATATTCAGTCTTGCCCATTCAATGAGCACTAAAATGAGAAAAAACCGAAAAGTGAAGAGAAAGGTAACTCTGATTAATAATTTGGAATAGAAGAAAGAAAGAAAGAAAGAAAGAAAGAAAGAAAGGAAAGAAGGAAGGAAGGAAGGAAGGAAGGAAGGAAGCAAAAAACTCATATTATATCTATCCATGAAACTCATCGTTTGATCTATAGCTCCTCCTGCTGCGGTGTTTCTTGCTCTTGTATTCCTCCCACTTTCTGTGGTTAAGCACCTGAAAGTCCTGAACATCAGCAACCAGCTCGAGGTACTCAGCAAGTTTTAAAAGTTCTCTGTCTTTGTCTCGATTAAGGTGAGCCTGTCTGAAGGGCTTAATCCTCAGCCCTGACTTGGGATTCATGAGAAAGTTTCTCCTGATGTCGTCGAACATTATTGTGTTCTTGGCTGAGTATGCTGGATACTTGCCCCAGATGACACCCAGGGGTTTCACGTCAACGAGACCGTACTTGGGTGTGCAGACTGAGATCATGGCTAGATAGTCCAAATGGAAAGCGATTTTGTAGTCGGGATTATCGGTGACTCCCAGCAGTTTCATCTTCTCGTTTATCCACTTCATGCTTGTGGCTGACCAAATAACAATGTCATAATGCTTGTAAACTCGAGTGAGGAACTCGTGGAGATATGGTCTCATCAGCTCAAACCCACTGGAAGCCACAGAGCGGTGATCGAAGAGGGTGTAATCAATGTCCAAGACGAGAAGCTTTTTGTTTTCTCTCAGAGGATTCAACTCATTGATCTTGTAGTTTTGAATTCGCTTATGGATCTTTGCAAGATAAATCTCGGCATTTTCCACTACAATTTCTTCGCCCTCTTGCTCATTGTCCAGATCATTTATCACTTGTCCCATATTCTCGGGGGGATTGCTTGCTTCTGCAATGTCCTCCTCCCTGGAACCCATTAGGAGTAGCTTGAAACCCGGTTTGAGGCCAATTGTTCCGATCGTTTGCTCATCTTCGGCTAATTTGCCTGTCAAAAAAAATGATACAATCATTTTAAAACTTCACAACACAACAAAACTATTGATTATTATCATTATTACTCACCTCTCAATCTGAGATTAAGAAGCTTCTGGCGATCAGGACGGACACCCGTCTCCTCATAAATTCTAGCCTTCAACTCAGCAATTGTTGTATCATCAACAATGTCTTTAATCTCGCGCTCATCAGTCCCCCATTTGACAATGAGTCCTGGTGTGCATGACATTTTAACCAGAAAATTTATCAACACTGACTTTTTTTCTTATTTTTTATTATTATTACGATAGTAATTAATTAATCTTATCTTAAATACACACAGGACAAAGCAAGAATAAGAATGCCTCAATCTCAATGTCCAATGAATGTCCGTCCCATCGGTACGACAGAATGATCTTGCTGGTGCTGGCTCGGCAGCAGTCGGCAGATTAGAAACCTCGACGCGATAATCATAAAATTTTCCCCCCAACTGACCGGTGCTGCCACCCCCGTCTTTTTTCATCACCACGATACATACAGTCAAATGCGCGAAAAATTTCATTCCAGACCAATGTCCGTTGGATCCTGGAACGCGTTCCGCCGCCGCCACCGCCGCCGCCGCCGCGTTCAGTTGCCCGTGTGAGCTACCCCACTGCAGCATTGGAATATTGTTTTTTTCGGCATAACAATTACCAACGACAGTTTAAAATAAGGATAAAACTTTTATTGTTGACTATACATACTTCTATCTTCTCCCCCAATCTAATATTAAACATCGAATTCTGTGGAGAAAACTCATCAATTAATAAACCAACAACTTTTCAAAAGCCATTTTTATTAAAATTTCACCGAAAGTGACTTGAATCAAAGTTCCACCTATGCAATTTTCAATAATCAATCACTACTTTTTAACAATCAAAAGTCAAAAAAGTGGAAGAAATCCTCAAAAAATTGTCAAAACAAGAAAGCAATTCCGATCCTCCTATTCATTATATGAATAAAAAGATTAGTACAAGAGGAACAATAGTGTGGGCAATTGTAGACGTCAATTCGAGATTGTAATTTGTCGCTAAGAGAGAGAGAGAGAGCGAGAGAAAAAAGGAAAAAAACAAATTGAATAATTGAAGAGTGATCATGAAACAATTTACACTTTACCATCGGCACCATTAAATTTATTTTTTTATGCTAATATATCGTAATCCAACGGATTTATTTAATTTTCCTCATCTACAGTATAATCCGTCACATTGCCTGACATTGTCCTTGACATGATATCGTAGTAGACCGTGTCTCGTATGAGATAGGGACATTAAATCCCGTAAACGTAGGGTTTAATTCTGCGCGGTAATTTGGTCCAGAAGGTGCATTGTCCACCACTGTCCACACGGGGATAAACGTGTGAGATGGGTACATTACAAATTGTGACACAATGACGGCTAGAGAGTCGGCGCGTATGTATTATTATTATTATAATATTTGAGTGCCCCAATCGAATTAAGGAAAATTCAATTGAAGGTGGGTGGGGTGATCATTGAGTAAAAGAAAAATTGGCTGGACGTTTATTAAGGAAACTTATTTGCTGGAGTGACGGCTAGAGAGGGCTGTAAAGTGATTTTTTTCCAACAAACCAAGGACTATTATATTCAGGACCATGACTGGGTGGACAAAAGTGCCTCTCATAATCATCTGCAGTGTCTTCTTACTTCTGGTGTCTTGTATCGGTAAGTCTTGTTTAAGAATCGAGTAGGAAACTAGTATGATAATAATATTATCATACTTTATTATATTAAAAATAAGTGTGATAATTTTTTAAATGACTATAATTTGCTCAAAAACATGACAAAATATCAAAATGATTTTTTTTCCTTTTTTTTTTTTTTTTTTTTGACAATGAAAATGTCCAGTGAATTCCTCATATCTTCGTGTAAACTTTCAAATTATCTTCTGAGAAATTCCAGTCTATAAAAGTGATTTGAAAATATATGCAATACTCTCAAATTTTCTTTTTACATCTCCTCACTTCAACACTCAAAAAAAAATCACTCTTGTATTCACAGAGAATACCTACTTAAATCCTTGAAAAATTCAATAAAGAAACAAATCAATTTCCTCTTGAGTCGCGAAGTGAAAAAATAAATGATTTTGCACCAAGTAATGAAAACAAATAGATGGGTCAGTATTTCTGGCAAGGTACGGAAAATCGGTAATCGATACAGTATGTTATTAACACATGCTCGAAACTCGATCCGAGCAAAGCCCTTCTCCCTCTTTATCTCAGCTATATAACATTATTTCCCCTGCTCCCTTGGTGTCTGGCAAGTGCCACTAGGCCGATGAGTTCGGCTGGTGCTGGGGGAGGGGGTGGGGCGTTGGTGCTGCTGCTGCTGCTGCTGAAGGGTGTGTGACAAGGAGTCTGGACTATCATCAGTTTCAACAATTACGAAACACTAAGATTACCTACTTCTCAAGTGAATGATTCGTTGAAAGGCGAGATTCACCAACAACTGAATAAATAAAAAAAATCGTCAAGGGCCACGTAATAAATCTTGATAGGGGAAATGAAGGAGGAGAATTATCGAAAAAGTAAAATACGAAAATATCCATCATCTTTTTGGCTGAACTAGGTCTTGACACGTTGCTCTTGACACGTCTGAATTATTGAAGTGGACCGGTCCGAGGGATAGGACCCATAGCCGTCGGAAGCAGATACGAGATTGCGCGTTACCTCAAACCTTATGCTCACTGCCGCATATAACTTCCTCCATAGTTAAAATCTCCTAGAGAACTTCGGCCTTTTAGCCTCGATATTTTATTTTTTTCTCTCATTATTTTCTTTACCTATTTTTATTCATTTTGCTTCTTTGTTTTGTTTTTTTGTTTTTTGCCGTAGAGAGATTTCTTTTGGGGGCTCGTTTTGGCTTGGCTCTTGAGATCCTTTGGGTGATCTCTTTCCCCTTCGATTAATTCGCCGGTCTCTACGATTTCCTGGCTACGTGCCTGGAAAGGAAGAATAAAACGTAACAAATTGGTACTTGAAGTTAATTCCACTGGTTGTGAATATAATAAGGGTTTCTTCTTCACGAGATCTGGGATACCTCTTTACCTTTGTGATAATCGTTTTTTTTTGCATTCTGTGTGTGTATTTTTTTTTGTTTTTTCGTTGGAGAAATTTTTTATCATTACTTGCTCGTTGTCACTGTAGATACTTCCATCTTGTGGATTTTCACGGTTCGGGAATCACGAATCAGTGAAAATGGGCTCAAGAGAGAAAGACTTTCTCCGTCCAGGCTTTTTGAGGCTTGAGAATCGGAATTATTAGGAGGACGGATTAAATTCCCTCAGGGCTTCTTCCACTGGGCAATTCGAGATTGACAATTTTTTTTATATCTCTTTGTCATTCTTTTTTTTATGATTGTCCGAATTGTGAGTTGTGGATTGAAAATACTTGGCGCCGTTTCGGAGGCATTTTTAATTAAAGTCCTTTTCCAGTATTTAAATTGCTGTTTCTGTTCTCATGATGTGCAAATTTATTGTTTTGCCTTTTGAGTTTACCTATTGCGAGGATTTTTGGTGAGTGAAAAGTTGTATGATTGATGGATATTGAGGATTATAATGCCAGTGTTTGTTGGACCAAGACTGGTCATGATAGAGATTGTTAATTGCATATTGTAAACAAATATTTACCCTCATCAGCAAGCTAAATATATTATATTTTTTTGTAATTCAAGGATTAATCCTCAAATGCATTTTAAAATTCATCAGATAACAGTGTTAAATATGAAAATGACGTTTTATATTCGAATAAAACGCCTAATTGAAACAGACGAAGAAACAAATTTTCCATGCAAAGTTCGTTATCAGGACATCATTTAATAATACATTGATTGGATTCTGGGCCTCGAATCTTTTGGTCTTTAGATATCCCTGTATTCGGAAACATTATCTTTGATATCTGAATTCAATTAAAAATCAATTATTTCCAAATGCAACTGAAAATTGTTGTCTTTCAATAGAAAGCGCCAAAAAATCTTCTTCTTTCTCTTCTTCTTCTTCTTCTTCTTCTTCTTCTTCTTCTTGTATGAGTCTTCTCTCTGTCTTCCATTAACTTGAGAGAATATAAACTAATAGAAAATATATTTGCTTACGGCAATATTCATTTGTTGCTTATGGCGCTCAAGTTTCTAATATTAAAATATGATCCAACTATTGTTCGTACCATCTACCGCAGTTTACCCCTAAAAGATAAGAATACTACTGTTTATTATTCTGCGAATCAAATCATTGATCTTCTGCAAAGACACACAAGAGGCGGTTTCCGGCTGGGAATGCAAACGGCAAGCGTGTGCAGAGTAGATGCGATGAATAAGGAGGCACCAGCGCCTGATGCAGGGGTCGCACGAATAGTTGGCATACCTCCTTTCCATCTTCGGCGATCCGATAAGATAAGGAACGGGTACCCTCGAATCGAATGGAAGTGTTTTGGTGCTTTCCCCCCTCCTCTTTTCCCTCGAGTGCCTGTGATGCTACTCAACCCATACTTACTCGACCTCAACCGTCAAGAGACAACTTTTCAACAATTGTATACGTAGCGACAAAATGCGACACTTCATTCCAATTGTATTCTCCTTCATCTATGAAATAGAGAGGCTAAACCTCTCTAAATATATCTGGCGTAATTTTCATTTTATCTATTTTAGTTTTAAGAAATATTTATTTCATACTTTACTAATTTTCCTATTTTTTATTATTTTCTTTTGTTTTTTATATATTCACTATGGACGGAGTAGGGTCGCGCATTCCAATTTACTCATTTAAACACGAACAAGTAGTATAATTAGAAATTCTGAAGAATCTCTTATAAATAAAATTCAAAATGCCATCGAGTTCTCAATATTTTTATTGAATTGTGATAGGATAAATGAATGTATAAATAGTTGTATGCATCTGTATTGGTTTGTTTCTCATGGAGTAGTAACAAGTTAAATTGGGACGAAGCTGATTGAAAATGTTAAAGAGGTGAAAATTTCCAAAAAAAATTCCCTGAGCTCCCGGAGCCTGAAGATTAATAGAAAAATTTGCCTGTCGTAAAACCATGTGCACGTTACACACGTTTGAGGTACTCATAAAACATTGTGCTTCCTCTTTCAATTCAAGAGTCCTTGTGAAAAATGGGTCACATTGAAAATTATCTCAAAGCCATTTCTCAAAACCGTACAAGACAAGGCTTCAAACATATTTATTTGTAACTTGGCTCGACATTGTGATAGTGACAATTGCCACTCTAATACAACATTTTCCTACAGTATCAGTAGTGTGGAAATTTATAAGTATTGTCAAACATTGTCAAAACAATGTGACTACTCTCAGGTTTTATTCGCCACTGTTTACAAACACCCAATGATTACTCAAGCGTGAGTGCAGAAGTGGCTAAGGAACACTGGGCGGCTCCTCAATATAAATCGTGAAATTGGTCCGATATTTAATTGAAACATTTAAGGGGAGATGGAGAAAAATTGAAAAATGATTTCCTTCCGTTTCGGTGTATCGATTCTCAATGAAGAGCCAATAATAATGGAAAAGCTACGATAAATAATAATAATGATAGTCGATGAAAGGATTTTCGAGGTATGCATATAGAAATTGAAGGGGTTTTAGGTGAGGGCTAGACCGAGTTTTATATTGATTCGACATGGCCGGGGGGTTCCGCCCACCAGATTTGCCAATCTCGTGAGAAAAAATTGGAAAAGTTGGTACAGGGTCGTCCACATGTGGAAGGAGGTAAGGGAGCCGAGTAGTTAACGTTGGCGGTATAGTAGAACCTTCCCTCGAGTAATATTTTATTAGTTGTTGAAAAGAGGCACGATTGGATGTTTTATGGAAATTCCCGAGAGTGTTTTTAATAATTTCGTCCCCGTAGTCTTTTTATTTTTAGTCCATCCTCACGTCACTGAGGATTTACCCGGATCAGTGGAATAAAATTGATTTTTCCAAACAACTTTTTCTCTCTTTCATATATTGTGGAGAATATTGTTCATATTGATGAAGACGGCTGTTCAAATGATATATTGTGTGATAATTCCAATGATTTCTACTAGCTAAATTGTAAGAGTGACACACTGATAATCGGCAAATGACGCTCGAAATACCGATGCATCTCTTTAAACTATTAAACAAATGCATTGTCAAGAATTGGCTAATTATCCTTTTTATTACAGAAGAGTCTCATGGCATTCTCAGCTGCTACAAATGCGGACAGTACAATGATGGTGTAGGTAGTATTACCCCCTGCATCAATTCGACCGCTCAAATGCATCTCCAGGAGTGTCCAACCTCAGCTAAATGGTGCATCGTGAGTATCGATCGATCCCACTTTACACTCACAAGCCCTCCGCACCCCCCGCTCTTTGGTTACCCTTTACTCTCGTCACCCATCTACGGAATGGGCCGTAGGTAGGGTGGTGGCCTATACTCCAGTAAGAAGTAAGGGGGGCTTATGCTACCTCTGTCTCACTCATCCTGAAATATTCATAAGTGCCACGATTGGATGGCAGCATGATGCTTTGCTTTATGGATGTACGTGAGCTGGGGCGAAAGACGAATATATATATATATATATATATATATATATATATGTAAAAAGAAATGGATGGGAAAATACTGCAGCTTAACTTTCTCCTCTCTCTTTCTCTTTCTGTACTGGTCTTATTTCCATCGTTTGAATTTGATATTTTTTGAATTTTAAGAGGAATGCCAAACTTGTGAAAAAATACATGTTTATGGAGATCAAATTGTCCATTCATGGGATTCAGAGAGAGAGAGAAAAAATATACTCAAAGCGATGTGGGAATGAAATAAGGAAGGCTTGAAAATGAAGAGAAATGGCAAACCGTAATTGCAATTGATTGACACAAGTCAAGACCTATTTTCTTTCATTCTAAAAAGGCCTTTTTAAGGCCTATAAGTCAATACAAATCGTACATCATCATAAATCACTAGCATGGCTAGTGGCCCATCGCGGCCGTCGCCCACTGACAAGTGGTGAGTGTCAGCATTGCGTCGGACATGTCACGAAAAATATCTTGAATCATTAAAGGAAACTACATTAACGTTGAGTAACGCTGAATTTAAAAATGTTTTAGCATATCTAACGGAAAGTTGACCATTTTTATAGCAGTCTCATAAAATGTTTCCGACTTTCCGAGATAGAGTTAAAAAAATGCTTTTTTTTTAAATTGTCTTTGAAATTTTCCTCCTCTGCATCGATCGTTCGATCCATTATTTTTTTATTAACTGTGCAATTGAGGCTGAAATTTTATTGCAAGAAACGCTAACAATATTCTCACTGATGAAATTAGCTTGAAAGAAAAACTTGTTACAACAGAATAGTTTTTCTTAGAGTAAAAATCAAATGAAAAAGAATAATGATGAAATAAAATGAAAACTTGAGGAATTCTGTAGAGCGAGGCTGGTTATGACCGGCGGTATAACCTACTTTTCATAACCAGAAGATTAACCGTACCTGTAGAGGCAAGAAAAAAAAGCGCTTAATTAATACCTTAACCGTTCATTAGGGTCGACAAGTTTTTTCTGGCAGCCGAGTGTGTGAAGTATACTTTCCATATTTCTGCCTCTAATTTATTTGTATTTTTTGTTTTAACGCATACAAAAGATTCGTACATAGAAAACAATCTATCACCATCAGCACCGAGGGAACATTAAATCATTATTTTTTTTGCTTTTCATTCCTTTGAGAAGCAGAAGCCTTTCTATTATTAAATAGTAGGATTATCAATATAATGACAATCGTCAAATATAATGCTCCCCGTTTTTATTTTTTTGTCAAATGAAATAATTTTTTTTTTTTTTTTAAGAAAGGCTTGAGGAATAATAATGCGAGGGGTGCTTAAACAAATTGAGGAAATATGAAAATAGGAGAATGAAGAATTTCCAATTCAAGTAGAATAAAGTCTCTCTAGTCTTCAGATATATATTTTCTAGAAGCTAAAGGTTGATTCATATAAACCACTTGGCTTTGAAAAATAAAATGATAGAAGAGTTAAAGTTTGAAACTAGATTACGAAACAAAGCTGTAAACCCCGCACCCGTCAGCTCAAAACTTAAAAATTGAAAAAATAAATAAAATACCTGGATTCAGATGTACAAGTTCATGGGTCCCGCTGCTCGAGATAATCCAAGTTTATGTCTCTGGTAGGTACAGGTATCCATCATAAATGTGGTTTACAGCGGGAATTTACTCAACGAAATGACCAGTAGCCAGCGAAATCCTGGGGCTTTTATGTTTGTCTTGTGCACTGTACCATAACTGGCATGACATTGCGATGTTCGAGCTAACTTTGAGTCTATAAGATCATCAGAAAGTTATATAAATATTGTAACTGAAACTATGAATGTCAATAGGTACTTGAGAGAAATCATAAATTTGGGGAAAATCACTTGACATTTAGAGGATTAACACAAAGGAAACTTGAAGAGATTCAAGGTAAATATAGGCACATGCACAGTCAATATCGGTCTTATCTGCCCAAGTGACGCTCTAACGCAGTTTAGTACGTCAAATGCCACATCGGTCACGGTATCCTATCCCAATTGGATGCACTCAGCAGGGCCAGTATTAAACCACACTTGTTTACTAACCCTGTATCTTGAGTTTACGGCCCACTCACACACAAGTCGCCCTGAATCAGTGATCCTGATACAACAGACATTTTACATATTATTAACATGAGTTTTATCTCTTGGGTAATAATTCCAAGTTAACTATCACTAGCGAAGCGGTACAGGGTGATAAGTCGGTTGTTTTTTTTTCTTCCGAAAGTGAGTTATTGATGGAAAACCATTCTATATTTATATCTGCTATTATGCCATGATATATCCAATTATGAGCTCATAGCATACGTGTCAAATGGAAAACTTGCTAATCATTAAAATTCAATTTAATACTTCCTCATCCCGAATACAAGATGAAGCAGGATGCTAGTAAATTCAATCGAGTTAAAAGCAAGAATTATACGACTTTATGCGATATAAAATTGTTAGTTTGCTTGACCAACAAAATTTTAATGTGATTTGCCGTTTTCCATGGGTTCAAGTGGACGGAAAAATGATGGTAACTATTCTTTGAACGAGAAATTTTACACATCAATGATTTCCAATGGTGCATCCATCATGCCCGATGCCCTTATCCTTACCAATAAATTCGTGCTTCCCTGCAGAAAAATTTAGAATTCATATCTACACTTAGCTCGAGCAATCCCGCCATCCATCCTTCGAGTGGCACAAAAGTCGATGAAATGTGTGTGTGTGTGTGTGTAGAGAATTAAATTTTAAGAAAAAAAAAAAATCAAAAAATGCCTGTTTTAGCACGCCTTTATAAAATTTATTGGATAAATAGCCAGGCAATGAACGAACCACGCTATAAAGTATCCGCTCTACATGATTTTCAACAGTTTAAGAATTTCCGTGGCAAGAGCTCAACTGACCAAATCTCAAACCTCACAACCCTCTGAAATACAATCGCTACCATCCGGAAAATTCTCCTAAACTTTGCATAACAAACATCATCAACGGTTCTCATTAAACTTGCTATGAAGTTGAACAAAGTCGAATTAGCCAAAATAAATTTGCTCGAGACATTCTAGCATGAATTACAGAATATCTCTTTTCTCGGACGTCCGGGATATTGAAATGCAAGTTTTCCGTGCTCCGTTAGAGTAACTAGACAGGCTTAGAAAAGTTACAATCCCAAGTTATTCTCAACTGTCCAGACTAGAAGATTGTTACAGATCAGAGAAGGATCCCTCCCCCAGAATCTGCATAGAGATTGAACTCTCTTCTGCCCCACGTGGCGGACTATGTGCCAGGGCCATTATCGTATTATCGATTCCCTTCATCCCCCCTCAATCTATATCTAACTTGGCTCTCTCCATCTCACTCGCATGTCTGAATATTCTCCAGCCGCGACTGACGTTCTTCCACACTATCACATCCTCTCAGATTTTTTCCTCTTTGTGTAGCATCTATAGGTGGTCCCTGCTTTTAGTTGAGGTGATATCTGACAGTTTCGTCATTCTTGAAAACGATAAAAGATCCTTTCTACAATCCACACTGGGGTTTGCTTTTACACATACCAATTTTTCCGACAATTAATTATTCGAAATGTGTAAGAATGCTTTCCTGCATCTCGATGAATTAAACATGAATCCTCAACCTATTGGAAAGTAGACACACATATTAGCGCAGATGAATGGAATTATCGTTTTCATTCATGACGATAATACCTTTGGCTATTGGAGGAAGAGAAATCAGATTTCTCTTCCTCCTCCTCTCTTTTTTTCTTGTGCAATTGATATTTCCTTCAATTTGATCAATTGAAAACAATAAATGGGATGAAAAATTTAATTTTTAAATATTATATCAGCTTAAAAAATCACCTAATAAACAGATTAATCAAATGGAGACGAGGTCGGACTTTGAAAGACAGAGAGAAAGAAAAGAAAAAAAGTGGCCGGATGAGTCTTACACCTATCCTATTCTCCCTTGGGCCCTGTGGCAGGTGGCACACACTCTGCGCACTGAGCAAGTAGAAGGGAGGAGGGATTTTGTGCGGCTTACCACCCATTTTCCAGTCGATCGGGCGAAAATTGCCGTCAGCGATATATGTATATACACCAAAACTATATATAATACTACGTCCCTATATCTCTCTCCCTCCTCTCAAAACGAGCTGAATATTACACGAGTGAATGCAATATAGAACACTCGCTAAATGGACGATGGTCAGAACAATTGTCAATAAATATTTTTTCATCTCCATCAATGATCGATGAAGGAAAATGATCGAATAGATGATGAATTTTAGAGTAATTTTAATTTAATGGAAAATAACATTCAACAAACTAATGCAGTAGAAAAATTTCAAACGAATGACCACATGAAATGAATAAAAATAGCGATCGGTGATCGCTAATCGGAAATTTTAATAAATTCAATTGCCATAAATATTTTCAAGTGGATAATTAAAGTAACAAATAAAATGACCAATAATGTACCTACTAGAGAGCGTAAACACCATCAATTATTCTGTAAGCCATTTGTCAAATGCAATATCGTCGATGGTCACCGAAGCATAAATTCACTCACTATAGGTATTCGTCGTTCCATCTCCAATAAACCTCAATGCTAATAAATTGCCATTGAATTTTACCATGTTCGAGTCCATATACATATACATTATACTTGATTCCATTATATGACACTCATTCCAATTCTCTTATTTTATTCTAATTTATTCCAATATCATATTGGTTGATTTTCATTCATCAGATCTAT